GAGTTGACACAGTTACCTAGACTAACAGCTTTGGAGTTACGTGTCCTTGATGTTCAAAAGATCCCTGGAAAATTAGAAAGATACAAGATATTCATCGGGGATGTGTGGAATAACCGGGATAGTTCGTTTGATAGCTCAAAAGTATTGAAGCTGCAGATGAAGACACACATAAGATTCGACTATTCAGTTAAACGGTTGTTGAAGATGACTGAAGAGCTACATCTAGAGGAGTTGAATGGTGTAAAGAATGTGATTGATGAGTTAGATATTGAAGATTTTCCAGATCTGAAGTATCTCTATATTTGTAACGCTCCAGAGCTTCATCAAATTGTTAACTTAAGGGGATGGGGTCCTTTCAGTGCATTTCCCAACTTGGAAGTATTGTTTCTTCGTAATTTAATTAAATTGGAGAAGTTATTTCAAGCCAGGTTCAAAGATACGGCTTTTAGCAAATTAAGAACAATAACAATTGAGTGTTGTCATCACCTAAAGAATTTGTTCTCCTCTTCCATAGCTAGCCAGTTTCTCCAACTACAAGAAATTAGAGTGTCAGACTGCAGCAACATGGAAGAGATTATTGACCACGCCAAGGAGCAAAGGAGCAGAGAAGATATTGTTGAAGCAAGTCAAGAAGTAAAGCCAAAGTTTGGTCAGTTGTTGCGGTCCTTGAGATTACAACGTCTGCCAAAGCTGATTAGCTTCAACAGTGATTGTAGCACCATGCCACTTTTCAATGATCAGGTATTTAATTCAATTCTCTTGTTTCTTTTTCTTTTTTTGTTTTTACTAATGCGAAGCACTATTAGTTACATTAATTCAATCCATTTCGCATAGTGTATAAAAACGATACTTAAAGCACTATATAGGTTACCATTTTTTTTTTTTTCAAACAGTACTTGTATTCAAACCATCCATAAAAACTACAAAATTTCGCATTTTCATTTTCTATTATATATCAAAAAATGATAAGCTTTACTTAGAAAGGGAATTATATGTTGTGCAGTTTCTGTTTCCAAACCTAGAGGAGCTGCAATTGTCGTGGATTAATGTTGACATGATAAGGATAGCATCTTACTGTGTTGAGAACCTGACGAAATTGATAATTCATGGCTGCCATAACTTGAAATACATATTCTCATCCACTATGGCTAGAAGTCTAGAGAAGCTTGGACACCTTGAAATAAGGGAATGCAAGATGATGACAAAGGTTCTTTCTAAAGAGAATGAAGAAGAAAAGGAGAATTTGATTTTCCCTGCGCTGAAATTTCTACAGTTAAAGCAACTTCAAAACCTTGTTAGCTTCTACTTTGGAGATTCTACCATTGAATTCTCATCCTTGAATGAATTGGCTGTAAGAAACTGCCCAGAGTTCAAGGGTTTCGCAGTTATGTCTACAAGCACAGATGTTGCAGCAGACAATCAGCCCCTCTTCAACGAACAGGTATGTCTGCATTTCACTTGCATTTTGGCTTTAAGACTCTGGGAGCTATCTAATTTTCCTTATCCTTTTTCTCTCAATGGCATGATGTGTGTGTGTGTTTTTTTTTAATTATTTATTTATTCTTCACAAAGAAATGGATAGAAAATTAAGAAGAAGATGAAGAGCAGAACGTAAACTGAAAATGATGAAAAGCACAACACTCAAACTCACTTTTAAAATACTAAAATGCCTACAATCATAGCATTTCACGGTAATACTAAATATGACCTGGCAACTGGCAAGTAGAGTTTAGAGTCTTTAGACTTGCCCATTTAATAATTAAATATAAATAAATATTATAAAACATTAAAACTCCAAAAGTGCCCATACCTTCTGACTCCCACCCCTTTTTTTTCAGTTTCCCCTTTTATTTCTCCAATAGTTTCTCTCTCTTTCTCTAACTTCGGCCCATCTCCACTTCAGGCAATTGTTTGTTGCTAAGAAACTAAAAGTAGAAATGATTGAACAAAATTGTAGGTTTTCTTCTCAATTGGGTTTAGATGGCAAATGAATCAATCAAAATTTACAAAATAAAGTTATACGAGCTATCTACTAATTTTTAAACTCTTTTTTTGATTTTTTAAGTAAACAAATGAAATTTGAGAAATTCAAAAGTCTAGTAATTCTTTCCAACATTTAATTTTGGATTTAAAATTGAATCAAAACATGAATTCATGATTTTGAAAACAAAAGCATCATATCTCAAAATTCAAATTTGATATGAACAAAAAACCAAACTTAGATACCTATGTAAGGAC